GTTATTTTTAGAGAAGTTTTTCAACTAATTGCAGGTAACCATTTGCGTATTTGTTTGAGTATTAATGTTAGAAATTAAGTCTTTCCTTCATAAAGTTTCAAGTAAAGTTCTTTAGCAGCGGCCGTCGCACATACGTATTACGTATTATTTACGTATAATTTGTCATGGTTGACGTCGAAATCTTAGAGATGATTAATGCATCCGTGATTCGCCGATTCCTATTGTCAGCTGATTGAGACATGATTACTGAATTTGAGTAAAAGTTGAAGAAGGCGAGGAAGAGGAAGAGAAAATTGGTAAAGGGGAAAAAAGGAAGAAAAGAATGCGATAGCAAAGAGGAAGACAAACGAAGAGGATGACCAAGAAAAAAGAGAAAAAATAAAGCATAGTCTTAGCGTTTTTAAATCATCCTTAAAAATCTAAGAAGCACAGCTGCTTCGCCACATTTGGCGCTTCAATTATCTTCTTTATGTGTCTGGTTTGCTCACAAGACTCAGATATAAGATGTTTAGTTTTTTTTTCGGTTGTGTTCGCGGTTTCATTCATAGTTTTTTTTCCACAATTCTGCATTTTATTCTGCTTTGTGCTAGCTATTTACTACCAATAAACTGCGGACACTTCTTTTACCATGCTTGAAAGCAGCATTCTTCCATGATACTCTTTGACGAGTAAAGTTTACACGACTGCTTGCTTATGTAATTTTATTTATTTACACTATTCAATTACACATTGCCCATTTATGACCGTATGTCCACCGAGTAGCCTATGTTTAATCTTGAATAAACTTAATAAAATACTATCTCAATACAGTAAGAATGCTTGAGAGTACAACTATAATTATGCAGCATTATTATGCGAAGAGATACTATGTAAAACTATGGCCTGGATTAAACATATTTTGTGAACCTGGGTATTTTCGACCCTATTCGTCAAACAGTGATTGGAATTAACTGATCATTAAGCACTGCGGATTTCCTGATTATTCACAAACATAAACTCCTGACTCCTTAACCAATGTAGAACTTGCGTTTTAGGGTCGAAACGGCCTGGGCAGCATTTTCGTTTGGGCATCAGGTGATGGTGGCGAGGACGATGACTGCAACTGTGACGGCTACGCTTCGAGCATGTGGACAATCTCGATCAATTCCGCCATTAATAACGGGGAAAATGCCCGTTACGACGAAAGCTGCAGCTCAACCCTGGCTTCGACGTTTAGCAACGGAGGTAGAAATCAAGAGTCGGGAGTGGCTACCACCGATCTCTATGGTCAGTGCACCAAAAGCCACAGCGGAACGTCTGCAGCTGCCCCAGAGGCAGCGGGAGTCTTCGCACTGGCACTGGAAGCAAAGTACGATTTGAAGCAGTAAACATCACAAAATTAAGTGGGGCCGGAACAGCTTCATTCCACCGAGCTAGCTTCCACTGCTCTTTCTCATATAACTTACAGCGGAACTATTACAGTATCTTTCTAAGAATCAGTAATTTATTTAAAACCTAAAAGTTAATGATACATTTTATGATATTGTGTGTGGGTAAGTCATTGACGAGATAAGAGCATCTAAAATTTTCAGTTATGTGCATCTTTCACTGACGTTTTGGACCAAACTCTGTTCGTCCTTAGAGTTACTATGATATTTGCAGTGCCTCAGTTTCATGTAGGCCAGGCTGATGCGCATGATTGATGGGAACGCACTTGTTGTTCATCCTAATCGACCGTTTGATATCTTCGATCCATGTGTCGCTGATATCTGAGTCAAGGCCACGATTGATCAAGCTGGTTGTGCGAATCTGTAACGCTTCTTTGATTCTACTGGTGAAATATTGTTTTTGCGCACGAATCCTTTCCTCTTATGCCATCATATTGAATGTTGATCGATTACACCATGGTTTACTACAGCTGAGTTTTTCTGACATTCCGCATAAGGTACTCCGTGCGCTACGTGTCGCCTTTAATGTACCAATATCGGAAACTGGAGAAGAACTGATAGTTACTGTCAGACGAACGTTGTTTTCTCACGCTCCTTCTCCGGGGTTTTGAAAACTGTTTAAATCCCAACATGATTACGACTTAAAAGATCAATATTTCCATCTGCATCAGTACATTGATTAGCCTACGAATCGAATAAAAATCTGATACGAAGGCGGACTTCATGTCACATGTTCAGTATATCAGACCTGTAATCCAATGTGGATAAGTTAATGTTAGAGTTGAGTAGTTATTTATGAGTAGTCTACCAACTGTCAACTAACGATTGATCTACGTAGACGTGAAAAATCTCTATCACTGCGCAAGCAATTTGACAATTTGCTGATAGAAAACGACTCAGAATTTCACACCTCTCGACGGAATGATTTCGCCGTCCCCATAACTAGGTAGTGAACCTGAGCAGCAAACACTGGACGGAAGATCAAAAGTTTGTTTTTTTTTGCAGAGGTCTCAGTTTTGCCGCGTTATGTGAACAGGTGTAGTTGAGAAATTACTGTCTCATCATCCCTGAATTTACCAGAAGAGCTGCTACATAAGAACAGAGGTTTCGGATGACTGGTTCTAATCTAAGCAAGTCCGAACGGATTGTTCTGAAAAAGCAGGAGAACGGCGAAAGCATTTCCATCGTGAAAGCCATGAACGCAACGCAACAGTGATTCTAGACAAGGAGCAGTATGCTGCTAGCCCAAAGCACTAATCAGTAAAGGGCGTGGGCAACTTGACGAAAATCCGTCAGCTGACTTGTAGAATACCTGAACAAGGTGATCACTGGGATGTAGGATAAAAAAAATGGATACCAGCCGTGCAAAGTGCCTGTTACTTAAGCTAGGTTATAGATACCGGTGGTTCGTTCCAGAAATGCATTGTTTGCCAAAAATTCAGTTGTTCAACGTCGCAATGCGACTATTGTTGCGTCATCAACATGCATCTCGGCTGCGATCGCAAGACTGTTTCATCCGACTATCTAGTCATGTACAGGCAGTGAGAAATCACATGCAAAAAACTAACAAACGTTTGTCCAAGAGATTATTTTGCGGGATAACATATGTAAAGATATAATATTGAGTTATTATATTAAAAGCCTCTTGACCAATATTCCTGTCGAATATGGTATACATCTGAGTTGAAGAATAGTTTACTATAGACCTTGACCTGAAGAACAAAACAACTGTCTCGGTAATTTCCATCCTAAAACTACTGAGGATATGCCCTGTTGTGTTCAACTTCTTTAAAGTTAATAGTCAGCTACATAGTCTGCTAATGTTGTTCAGTGTACATCGGTAAAAGTGGCAATATCGTCGAAAAAACAATTAACATTAACATACGAAATCTTTAGAGTTTTTAACCCGTAACATTAACGAAGCACCGCTAATTCGCGCGCAGTAGCTGTAGCAATCGTGACCTTGGCTCAGCAAGTGACATATGGTCCGGAAACATCAAATGGTCTCACAGAACGAACTGCGAGCGTGGCCCCATCAATCATACACGTCAACCTGACCTGCATAAAACAGAGGCTATGCAAATACCGTAATTACTCTGAAGATGAACCGAACCTGATGGTCTGAAATGTCGGTACCTGTTGTACGAAATTTTAAGGAAAACTTTTATGCGTTGTTATCACGTCTGTTGACATCCGATATCATCTCCTGCATAAAGAAATCCTGCGTTGTCTAGAGTGTTACATTTAATGATTATATAGTTGATTTTAATGACAGAGATATATTAGCAGAGAAATAAAGGATGGAAGAAAGTCCACTTAGTCAGTAATGCAGCGAACAGTGCCTAGCGAATGACCCGCTGAGAAGAACATGATGCTATCATAATTGATCAGATCAGAAGGACGCGTGATAGTGTGCCAGAGGATCAACCAGCTCAATATATTAGTGAAATAATCCCGGATTTACCTATGAGACCAGAGATTTAAATGGCTCATGTGACAGAAATTATCCAGTTGAATGATACAGAAAAATCGCGTCGCTAGGAGATTCTTCAGGAATTTGAAGTATCAAAATTTCTTCACAGACAAGAAAACTGTGCATAAACGTAAGTTGGCAGTGTCATAAAAACGACATAAATCAGTAATTTGAAATCCATCGATGGTCTGATATGCGCCACAGCTTTTGTGATAACGATGAAACTTTACGTTTAGCTGGAAAAAAGTCTGAAATAAAGATAAGAAAATCCTGGAACAAACAGGACGAAATGCTAGCTGGAACAATTGAACGTAGGCAGCATAAAAATATTAACCACATATATGAGGAGGAAGTACAGAATTAAAACAGGCAAAACAGTCAGAGCTGCATGGGAAGACGCCAAGCAGAGATCGTCAGCTGTATCGACAAAGCCTCAAACATACCACAACAGGTTCGAGCGGTACAACCACAACAGCACCTTCGTTCAAAATGCCAAAACCGTCTGTGAAACACAGGAAGCAAAGAACAAACCCACCACAAGTAATGACGATACCCTTAGTTATAGTAAAAAACAATAGCTGCGGTTGACAAATTGAATAACTGAACAAATTGAGGTCACTGAAATAACGCGTTCAGAAAGATGAAAATACGAAGCCGATTAGGTGTACGCTTTCTGACTTAAACGGTTAACATTCTTATACTCGCGAGCAGAGTGTTTCGGAAACTATCATCATTTTGGTTAACGTAAGGAGTGACACTCAGACTCTTTAAGGGTTAGAACAGGGGCAATGGCGATGTGAGTGATCACGTGCCTTCTGATTGACTTTAAGAAGGCATTTGATCTAATACTACGTAGCTGGATCTTGGAATGCCTGAAACCATACATGTAGCGATTTACTAATAAAGTTTTTCCAAGTAGCGGTGAAAAAGTGTCGAACCCAGCTACTTTCTCTGGGATCGTTGAAGATCCAACGAGGAATCTCCCGCAAAGATAAAATCTCGCCGCTTTTATTTTGTCTGACATTGAAGCTGCTCAGTTACTTGCTAAATAACACCAAGAAAAGATATAAGCTGAAAGCAGCAGTATAACATCGCATTTGCAGTACGTAGACGACATGAAGTTTTACGCGAGATCATGAAAGGAGCTGGATAATATGATCCAAAGCGCAAGAAACTTTTTCGAACATATCAAGATGAAATTCGGCTTGGATATGTGTGTTTTGGTCGAGATTAAGAAATGGATGTTCTGGAAAAGCGACGGATTTATACTACGGACTGGTAAAGTAGACAGCTTGCAAGAAGGACAGTCTTAAAGATACCTCGCCTGCTAGAATTTAAAATATTACATGGAAACTGAAATTAATGATAAAGGTGGAATACTAAAAGAGGAGTTGTGAAATCCTGACGAGTAAGTTATGCAGGAAGAATAAAACTGTGGCCATTAACCAGTATGCTGTACCAGTGCTTTCTTATAGAAGAAGCATCGTCTGATGAATGCAAGCGGAATGACTAAATCTGGATAGAGTTACATGAAAGATCTTGAATATGTAGAGCAGGATGACACATCCAATAGTGGAGACGAATAGACTATATCCCGCGCAAAGGAGGAATATGGCTTCGTAGTATAAGAGATACGCTGTAATTAGAAACGTATTCCCAAAGGCGATATCTGGCAACTGCGTGTACAAGCTTGAATAGCAAATAACTGCAGATG